GGGTGGTTGCAGCTGGACGCGGGCTGGGCTTTCCTCGGGCTCCGCTGGCCGGCCGCCGCCCACCTCACGGCGTCAGGCGGAGGCGTTCCGGGCGGGCAGCACCCTTCCCGGCCCTGCTCTCCGCGGCGGCAGCGGATCAAGACCCCCATGTCCTTTGTCCAGGTCTGCTGGTCCAGAGCACCCTATAAATAAAACAAAGCGCGTTCATTGCAGCCGCCCTAAATTGACTCACAGTCTAACTTCAAACCCATACCTGCCGCCGTAGCTGCTGAGGGTCTCCTGGAGGCTACGGTTTCTCATTGCATTCCTCTCTCCGTGTTCCTAATGCTGGGGAGCCTTGGGACCAAACAGACCCCAGTAAAACAGCATCCATGTGTCTTACAGATCCCTAAGGATTTGAGTGACAATAGAAAAGTGACTCTTAAACGGAATGTAAAAATCAGTTACTATTGAAATCTTTTAAAAACAGTTCTCTCCAATACTGTCGACACTAGTCACATGTGTCTTACAGCGCATGTGAAATGTGGCTACCTAGAATTGATAAAGCGCTGTAAATGAAGTAGCACTTTGGATTCTAAGGTGTTTCGTTCTTTACCTTAATTTTAAAACAACACAGGTAGCAGTTTCAATCTAGTATTAAATATTTGTTTTTTTAGCCATACATTTTTCCCCCTCAAATGTTTTTTTATGTTTAAACAATGTTTATTGCTTTAAGTGATTTCCTTTTTAAATAATCCATGACCTCCCTTGAGACTTTTTAAAATGGAATTTAACTTTGAAAAACAAATAATTTCTTTTGTTCATGCTATTTACTAATGCGTTAATAAGTTCTTTGTTTAATAAAAAGCATCAAATGGTAAACTACCAGTTTAATGTTATTTTTTCTTAACGATAAATTACATCAGAAGGATTTAAATTAATAATTGCGTGAAGAACCAACCCTGAAAGTAATATACCCCTTTATTTTTCTCATTAAAGCAAATAAGCAAGAACAATGTTTGGAAATCAAATACCTGTTTTTGGCAATTACTAGTTGATACTTTAAAGTTATAATCTATAAACAAATAGACTGCTAAATTGAAAATAATATTGCAAAAGGAAAACATAAATATCACTTATAGATTCTCAATTTTAGGACTTTTTAAAAAATTTCTAAAGTCTGAAGAAATCTCATAATTAATGAATGGTATCATTTAATTGATAATTTATTCCTTGTTGTGTTGTTGCTATGTGCCAATGAGTCACCTGCGACTCATAGTGACCCTGTGTACATTAGCTTTGAACTCTGCCCTATCCTGAGCCAATCTTACCATCTCTGACAGACCTAATCCCATTTTTCCAGTCACAGAGTCAATCCATCTCACATTGGGTCTTCCTCTGCTGCATTGTCCCTCCACCATTCAAACCATTATGTCCTTCTCCAAGGATTGGTCCCTTTTGGCCATGTCCCCAAAGTATGTAAGATGTAGCTTCAAAATCTTGGCCTCTAGAGAGCAACTTGGTTTCACTCTCTCCAGGACAGACCTATTTGTTTTGGCAACCCACGATATATTCAACACTATTCTCCAGCACCACAACCAAAGGCATCAATCTTCTATCATCCTTAGTTATCCCGCTCTCTGATGCACAGCAAGGAAAGGAGCCCTGGATCAGGCATACCTTGGTCTCCAGACTGACATCATTGCTCTTCCCTGACAGCAGACTTCCCCAGTGCTATTCATCTTGATTTCCTGACTGCTGATGGATGCCAAGTGTGCAAAGCAAGCTGAAGCTGTTAACAATTTCAATCTCTTCACTGTCTATCATGAAGCTGCCAGTTGGCTCAGTGGTGAGAATCTTTTTTTCCCCTTGATGTTAAACTTCAATCCCTATTGAAAACTACAGTCCTTGGCCTTTTGCAGCAAACACCTCCTCAGGTTCAGCAAGCAAAGTTGTGTCATCTGCATAATTCAGGTTGTTGATGACTCTTCCTCCAATCCTGATGCCACCTTCATTCCTCATAAAAATCCAGCCTTCCTAATGATCTCTTCTGCATATGAAAAGTCATGGAGATAGGATGCATTGCTGTTGCACACCTTTCCTGATCATGAACCATGCAGTGTTTCCCTGCTATGTTCTGACTGCTGCTTCCTGGTCCAAGTATAGGTTTAACATGACCACAGTTAAGTGTTCTGGAATTCCCATTCTCCTCAAGGTTAGAAATAATTCATTGTGATCCACACAGTCAAATGCCTTTGCACAGTCAATGAAACACAGATAGACATTCCTCTGGTACTCTATGCTTTCAGCCAAGATCCATCTAATATTGGCTATGACCCTACTACCTAGTATCTTCTAGTACCTAGAAGAGACCCTTGTCCCATGGCCTCTTCTAAACCCAGCTTGCACATCTGGCAGTTCTCTGCTGATATACTGTTCCAGTCATTTCGTAGGGTTTTGGTTTTGGTTTTGGGTTTGTTTTTATAATCTTCAGCAGGATCTTGCTTGCATGTGATATTTTTTATAATTTCCGTACTCTTATTGGGTCACCTGTTTTTGGAATGGCATCTCTTCCAGCCAGCTGGCCAGGTTGATGTTCCATTTATGCAATAATCATATAGTACTTCTTGGAATATTTTAGTGTCAGCCAGTTCTTTTTGATACAGTGAAATACCGTATGATCTAAAGCCAATGATTGTGAAGGAAGAAGTTCACACTGTCCTGAGGCATTGCCAAAAAAATAAGGTCCCAAGAAATGATGGGATACCAATAGACATGTTTAAAATGCCAGAAAATTTGGAAGATAGCTACCTGGTTGACTGCAAGGTATCCACCTCATTCCCAAGAAAGACTTTTCCCCATTCCCAAGAAAGTTGATCCAATAAAATGTGGAAATTATTGAACAGTATCATTAATATTACATGCAAGCAAAATACTGTTGATGACCATTCAAGCTCAGGGGCTTAGCCTGGGGATAAGATTAAGTCTCACCCAGTACTCCTAGATCTAGGGAGAAGAATGGGCAGTCTCCTCCCATGTAATTAACTGCCTCCGAAAACTGGCTAGAGGGTCAGTTTTGAGTGGTTCTGACTGGAGGGCACATGACAACACCATAGCCTGAGGATATTAGCATTTGCATGGATTTGTAACCCCACTTTGGTCTTCTGGATGAAAATATTTACATTTAAAAGAAAGACAAGCAATCCCAGAGGGGAACGGTTTGAATCCACCAGATGCTCTATCTCCTCCTGTACCAGTCAGATCTGATAAGACAGTACACACACAAAAAAATTTTAAAGAAAAAGACAAGCAAAGGAAAAAAGACTTTGACTTTTTAAATTGTAACAAGGAGTTTGGCTTTGGATGCCCAACAGAGGCAGGAACAAGCAGATACCCATCAAGAGATCCTTTCCAGGACTGGAAGTTAAAAGGAAGCTGATAAGTATGGTGATAAATGGAACTGGGAGGACCACAGCAATGAAGAGACAAACTGAATTAGGCAGTGTTTACCTACCATGCACTGATGTTTGGATAAGTGAAGAAAGGTTGCTGACCTCAGGAGCAAGAAGCTAGACCATGTGAGGAGCTGAAGCTGGGAGTGAAGGACCAGCTGAGAGTAGAAGGACCTGATTGAGCCCATATGAGAAGCTGAAATTGCAAGTGGAAGGACCAGCTGGTCTGGAATGTAGGAAGATATGTAGACCCCTGAGATCATGGCTGGTGCCTGTAAGACCTAGCTACAGTTGATTGGAATCTAACCAGATGAAGAAAAGATGTCTGATGCTGTAAGTTAGTATAGATTGGTGCAATCTGATGGCTTGCGATAGATTGGACTTTGCTTATAGTTGCAGATATTCAAAGTTCCAACCAAGACAGAAGATCCTTCAGACAAAGGAACATGCTTGTTTCTTCAAACTACTGATTTGATAGAAACTAACAGCTCAGAAATTGGCTATCTAAAATAGGGAAGATAAAGCATAAGACAAGAGGTTGTTGTTCTTAGATGTCATCAAGTTACATATGACTCAGAGCGACCCTGTGAACAGCAGATCTGAACCCTGTCCTATCCTGTGCTATCCTGTCTCTGACATAGTTGAGTCCATTACTGTGGTCACTGTGTCAATGTTTCTGGTTGCGGGTCTTCCTCTCTGTCACCATCCCTCCACCTTCTGAAGTGTAATGTCCCTTTACGAGGAACTTCCTCTCATAGTACTATGTCCAAAGTATGTGAGATGAAGCTTCACCATCTTTACCTATAAGGAACACTATGGCTGCACCTTCTTTGACATATCTGTTCCTTTGCCAGTTCATGGGATAGTCCGCAGTCTTTTACAATACCACAAAGACATCAATTCTTCTTCGGTCATCCTTATTCATTGCAGCTCTCAGATGCACAGCAAGTGATTGAAAAGACCATGGCCACAGTCAGGTGCACCTTCGTCCTCAAATTGACAATTTTATCCCTCTGAGGTGGACCTAAAGTGCTTGGTGCAAAAGGTAAGTCTTCAGTATGGATTGAA